GCTGGCTGGCCGACAGGAGGGTGCCCAGCTGGGGCATGGAGGGCGGGGACACCAGGAGGACGCTGCAGGAGGGAGACGGGGACAGGCGACCGTCAGCTGTGCAGTGATCTGCATTGGTTTTTTTAAGTCGTATGTTATTAAAGTCAAGCAGGCGGCTACGTCGGCACACCTGGGCTGCAGAGGAACAAGTACAGGTTTATTCCAGCCGAAAGGAGAAGAAAAGAAACACAGCAAGGTCTCTTTTTCACAGCGAGCTCTCTACAGCTGGATAATCACCGGGGAAAAAAAAACGGAATGAAAATGCAAGCAGGAACGAAAGCCAACCTTGGGCTGGGTTTGACTGTGTCCGGGCCGGCCCCAGACTTCGTGGGGGTGCTGGAGGAGGGCAGCGAGGGCGATCTGGGGGTGCCCGGGAGGACTGGGCTGGGAGTGGTAGGTGTCGGGGGCAGGGAGGTCGCAGGCACAGCTGCAGGCTCCAAGCCGAGGATCTGGCCGGGCTCTCCCGCTCCGGGGGTCTTCAATCCTGCCTCCTTAGCGCTCGCTTTCTGGAACACAGCACACATCTCGCTCGCTGGCACGCCCATCGCCCCTCACCACCGTCGGGATTCAAGGAGCACAGCACACAATCCCTCACTGTGCTGTACGCGGGCTGGCATCCTGCCTTTTTACGCACCAAACAATACCTCATTCTTTCACTTAACATGGCTCTGTAATGCAGCAGGGTCTCGACGTCTACGAATTTAACATTCGAGAATTTGCTTATTGGCTCCTCAGTCTGTCCGACAGGCTCTTTCAAATTAGCGGCGCATCAGACGAGGATCGTGAGAGCAGTCTAGTGTGAGCGAGTCTCTACAAGTCTGTGATTACTGTTGTTTTAGTTGATCAACTTCATTTTCATTAACATAAAGCCAGTGCATTAGCACTTTAATCATCACACAAGGGAGGAATGCTTGTGTCTGTTTTGGCCATACGGTAAAGGGGTGGACTTGGTTATATGGGGATTTGGCTATTCGAGGCACCAAACCTTCACACAAGTCCAGACCCTCCTGCAATTAATTGCAAACTACTGTGTTTTCTAGTAAGCTGTCCAGTACTATAATGGACAATACTGCCGAATGATATCTTACCATACTGAACTGTAGTCCAGTACATTCAACTGAACTATATAATTAGGCAGTTAATTAAGTTCACTTTCCGACTACACAGTGCAATGAACTGAAAGCACAGTACCACTGCACGGTGTGGCCTACACTGCCCTCTCCTGTGCTGTGGATACACAGGCCGTCACTCACGAGCTTGGGTGCTGGTTTAGGCTTCTGCTGCAGAGCCTTCTTGGCCTTCGCCGCTGCCGCCTGGGCCTGATGGATCCGCTCTGGGGGGAAAGACACAGGGGTCAAAGACGCCATCAGCTGTCACCCCCCTGGGAAGCACTCCGGGACAGCCCGGCATCCCAGACGAGCACCCAGGGCAGGCCGAGATGGACACCCCTCACCGCTGACGTCATCCGGAGGCCCAGACTGTTTCTTTACCACATCTTTGTCTCTCACGGCTCTTTTTAAAGCCTGGATTTTGAGACTTTGTTTTTGGTATCTGGAAGACACTGAACTTCCTTCCATATAGAAAAGAGCACTGTCTATTTCAAAGAAAACTGCAGATGTGTGCAGTGAGCTCTGCTGCTTGTGAATTAGTGTGCTGTGAGCTCTGCTGTGAGTGTATTAGTGTGCTGTGAGCTCTGCTGTGAGTGTATTAGTGTGCTGTGAGCTCTGCTGTGTGTAAATTAGTGTGCTGTGAGCTGTGCTGTCAGCTGTGCTGTGAGTGTATTAGTGTGCAGTGAGCTCTGCTGTGTGTGTATTAGTGTGCTGTGAGTGTATTAGTGTGCAGTGAGCTCTGCTGTATGTGAATTAGTGTATTAGGCGAGACACTGTCTACTGACCGAACTCCTCCTGGCTGCGGTCTCGGTGCAGGTAGATCCACAGCTTGCGTCCAATGTCGTACTTCACACAGGGGTCCTTCTCGTAGTGCAGCCGGTCCAGAGCCCCGCTCACCACTGTGTTCACCTGCACATGAGCATGAGGGCCTGTTAGACCGGCACACACATGCTGATCTAAGCGATTCAACGCACACAAACTGTCTGACCCAAAACACACACCAGTTTACAGATCTAGCTCACTCACTGAGTGTTACAGGACGTGTGCGCCGACAGATCTAGTGCGCACACGCTGACTGACTTTCCCTGCACGTCTTGCCGCCGGTCAGTCACAACCTTGGCGTGTCGGCGAATCCCTCCCAGGAGGCGTGCCGGCGTGTCAGCAGACTGGCGTCTCGCCGGCTCACACTGACCTGCCCGTGGATCCGCGGGACGTACCTGTGCGCTGGTGACATCGGGGGCGAGGAACTGGGAGTCCTTGAGCAGCTCACAGATCTCGGCTCGTGTCCCCTCGCCGTTGGGCAGCCGGGCTGCGGCGTCGCGCACTGGGGTCGTGGAGAGAACCTCTCTGTCACACACCCTGAACGTGACAACTCCCGCTCGCTGTCAGCGCTGCCGCACAGCTTAGACCAAGTGATTTAATTCAAGGTGGACAAAACAGAAAAAAACAGCCTAGACAGACCGGCACGTGGAAGGTTTATATCACTTCCTGTAGCGCACAAGAACAAAACTCCTACTCCTCACGGGCATCGTTCCGCTGATGACCTCCCCCTGACCCCCCCGACCCCCATCTTACCGAGGGAGAGGATGGTGACGTAGGCCGGCCGGTCGGAGCGCAGCAGGGAATGCTCCCGCGCCTTGTTGAGGGACGTCTCCTTGTCGAACACCCCCTTCACCGGCCCCACCACGGACTCGAACCCGTGCATCCGGAAGGTGAAGGCCCTGTGCGGCTGGTCGTAGCGCTGCTGCTCCTGGGGGGGGGGAGACACAGGCCCAGACTGAGCTCACGCCACAGCCCTGGGGCAGCTACAGCCCTGCCCGCTGCCCCACCTTGCCCCCTGACCTCACGCCCTCGCTCACGGACGGGCCCCTGCTCACCTGCTCCTGGAACACCTGCCTCTCCTCGCCCGTGCTGGGCCTCACCACGTAGTCCGTCCACCTGCGGAGACCGGACAGGGAAACTCAGCCCACGGGAAGACAGGAGCAGGAGAGGGGCAGGCGGCGCAGAGGGAGGGAGGAAAGGGAGGAAGGACGGGGCAGACTCACACTCTCGGCGTGGGTGGGGTCATCTCTGCCGGCTCCTCGCTCTCCGGCTTCAACAGAAAGGAAGATCCGACAAAATCAGAACCGAAGCGACGGGGGCACTATACTGTAAAACGGCGCCGTCCTTCAGATGAGACGTAAAACCGAGGTCCTGACTCTCTGAGGTCATTAACAATCCCGGGGTGTCTCTCGAGAAGAGTAGGGGTGTTACCCCAATGTCCTGGCCAAATCTCCCCCTGGCCTTTACCCATCATGGCCTCCTAATAAACCCCATTTATAACAATAATAGAACTCTTCTGCAGTTTATACAGACTCCAAAACTGATACTCCCAGTGCACAGCAAATAATTGCTCCAAAAGAATATGCCTGGTCAGCAGCTACCAGCCATGAGCTCATTATTAAAACTCCTCCCATTAACCAAGTAAAAGCCCTGAACTCCAATAATGACCCTGTTCTCGCACACAAGCCCGTTACCCTGAAGACCCTGGCAGAGGCCTGAAGGTTCAACTGGGACGAGCGCACTCAGGTGTGGGCCAGGTAGCCAGGGGGTGCAGTTCAGGGAGGTCCGTCTCACCACGTACCTTGATGACCACCTGGTCCTTTGTCTCCAGCCACAGCTGACAGAGGGCATTCAGGTCCTTCTCGCAGTCCTGACTGGGGCCTGAGAGAGAAGAGCAAAATACCAGACCTATGCAACAGCTGGAGAATCCCACTAACATTTCACTGGAAATAAACTCTACACGTCAAACATGCACAGGTATATTGCTGTTTGCAGGCGCCAGACAAGAGGAAGTCTTACTGATCCACTTCCAGTGCTGAGAGCGCTCTTGGAATTCCACTGAAGGAGAGAACCCGGCCGGTAGACACAGCACGCCCGCTGAGGAGAGACACAGAGGAGCTTCATGAGTGCGACACTTGTCCGTGTCCCTGGGTCCGCCTCTCCCTCTCATTATCATCCACTCCCTGCTGATGACTGCCACATCCCACATATCCCACATACTGTACAACACAAAGAGACAGGTCAGCGTGGGAGCAGAGCAGACTGAATAATAACCAGTTTTAGACATTAGAATTCCTTTTAGAGAGAGGACTGGTCCACACCCGATTCCCATGTGTGAATCTCCAATAATGGGGAGTATGATTTTTTCTCGGAATTTACGTGTCTGCGTGTCTTTCAGCGCGGGCAAGTTTCCTGAATAATATGCCTCTGAAAAAGATGGCCTCCTTTAAATGAACCACATCTTATTTGATACAGAAATAACAAATGAAAACGTTCACAGGATGACATTTTTATAAAGTTTCTACTCTCCTGGTAAGGATGTTTTTTTTTTTGCATATGCACTCCATTCTTGTGAAATGATAATGATGTTTCCGTTTGGACATCACTAACTGCACGAAAGGACTACGGTGGCTCACTGGTACACGCTGGACTGCGATGGGCAATCCTGGTGTGTGAATCCATCTGCTCATTCCAACCACTCACATCAGCTCACACCCTTCTGCAAGCAGTCCGCCACCCCATGTCTGCACACTGCTTTCACTTCATCTGAAAATGGTCCTCAAAAAGTACACTGTTTTACAAGAGGGAGGCTACACAGGCACGTGCTGTTCAAGGAGTCGCTCCAGATGAAACCGTCTGCGCACTGTGACACAGGCAGACTCACCCTTGCTCTCTCCTGCCAAGAAGTGCAGCGCAGGCAACACCAGGTCAGACCAGCAGGGGGCACCGGAGAACCACGGATTGAGGGTGCTGGCAGGGGAGGCCTGCCACTGTTGCACCCTCTCCTCCAGCTGCAAGAGGGAACCAGAGACCACCAGTCACTCTGTGCTGTACCTCAGTACAGTCAGTCTCCCAGTACAGTACCTCAGTACAGTCAGTCTCCCAGTACAGTACAGTACCTCAGTACAGTCAGTCTCCCAGTACAATCAGTCTCCCAGTACAGTCAGTCTCCCAGTACAGTCAGTCTCCCAGTACAGTACTTCAGTACAGTCAGTCTCCCAGTACAGTCAGTCTCTCAATACAGTACAGTCTCTCAGTCTCCCAGTACAGTACTTCTGTACAGTACAGTCTCTCAGTA